CAGGAAAACCATTTTTAAATTTAAAACCAAAAGGCCAAACAGTTGACAAAAACAAACTTTAAAACTAAAATTAAGAAAAACAATTAAAAAAATCATGGTTAATATGATAATGTAGAAAACAAAAACAACAGAAATAATTAAATATCAATTATACTTTTTATCAACAAAAAAAATGTATTTTTAATTTTTTGCAGGCGAAAACATATTTTATATCTTAAAAAATATATTAAAATGCCTGTGTTTCATTTTCAAAAATAAAATTCTAATAAATATATTATTTAATTTATATTAAATTTAATAGGAATAAACGAAGAATGACAAATTAAGGAAAAAAAAAAATTTAATATTTCTGATTTTTTTTTTCCAAAAAAATTATAAAAAAAAATTAATTAATAAGTTATTTTATATAAATTTTTTTTATTAATGTCTTTATTTATCTTGTTTAATTGCTTATTCAAACACAAATCACGGAATTTGTTATTAAAAAAACATAAGTATATTTAACTGATATGGTTATTTTTTGAATGTTGTTTGGAAAAAAAAAGGAATATTTTTATTTTGGTTTTTTTATTCAACTAAAATTTTATATTAAAAATTAAACAAAGTAAAAATATTTTTTTTTTATGATATTTGAAAATTATTGGTGATTCTTTAATACTTTTATTTATTAAAAAATTTTCTTTGGAAAATCTAAACGGTTGATTTGAAAATTCATATATCTTACGTTCATTAAACATGAAAATTTTTTATAAAAATATAAAAATTTTCAAACTATAAATAACATATTTTGGCTAAAAAAAAAAAAATTTCTTGAAGAAAATATTGTTCTTTAATTTGAAAATAGAAAATGAATATTTTTTAATGTTGAATTTACATTATTTATTTGTTTGATTTCTGAAAATCATTAAATTTGCATTTTGATTGTATTTTGTCAAAATACAATTTTTTTTTCTATCTTTATATAAAAAAATTTAATATCTTAAAATAAATTAAGAAATAATTTTTTTTATATAATGGTAAATTTTTAAATGTCTCTTAGAATTTTCAACAACAACCATTGGAAAAGCATCTTGAAGATGAATCAAAATTGTAAATATACATTTGAAAAATTAAATTCTTTTAAGAAATGGATCTGATTATAACAAAGCTTAAAAGTCTATATTGAAATAAATTATTAAATTGGGCTGTTCAACGCTGTTTTAAAAAATATATAATTTTTATTTAAAAAATTCAAATTTAAAAGAACATTGTTTATATATCTGTTTAAAATTTATTAAACATGAATAAAAGATTTTCTCATGGAATAAAAATATATTTATAACATATATATATATATATATAACTAAAATGAAATATAAAGTTCCTGTTTTTTATTTCTCATTTTCCTAACCTTTTGAAGGAAAATTCAAAAAAAGGAAGGAAAAAATGAACATCTATTGTAGGAATATTCAAAGATTTTTAACCAATAATGTTAATAATGAAACATTTATAATTGAAGTAATTTGACACAAGATATAAACATTATAACAGCAAAATAAAAAAAAAATAATTAAACAGGAAAAAGAAATTTAAAAAGAGAAAAATGAAATATGATCTGGAATTTTCATTAATAAATTAGAAATTATTGGGGGTCTATGCAATAAAAATTATAATTACTGTTGATAAATTTTATCAAACAAGAAAAATAAGATCATAAAAGAATCATTTATTGGTTAATCATTAAAAATTTAAGGATCAAAAAGTCAAAAACATATAGAAAAAAGTTCAAATATAAATATATAAATTAATTTTTATTTTAAAAGTTAAAGAAAATATATTTTTGATCTTTCTTTATTTAAGACAATAAAATTGAAAAGAGAATTGACTTTATACGATGAATTTAAAAAAAAAAAAGATTCATTTTTTTGATGCAAAAAATTCTGTCACTATTAAAAATCTTTTTCAAAAAGAACAGTCTGATTGATTGTCAAGTTGAAATGATGATTGTTTTTGCTGTTGTGACCTCTTGAATGGAATTTTCTCTTATTAATTTCCCTCTTTTTTAAACTTATTCACCAAAATTTTTTGATGTTTCTTGAATGGACATTGAAGACAATAATCCACCTTTGTATGAATGTTGGTACCATTACTGAAGACCTGAAAGAAATGAAATTTTTTTATGACCATTGCTCAGTTGGGAAATACAAAGGGTCCTAAATATAAAATATTTTAACCTGTTCTTTTTTAGCTGAATTAGACTCAGAAGGGTTTTTTTTTTTCTTATGAAAAATGGTGAAAGATGGAATAACATCTTATCTGAAAAACTTCAAGGAAAATCATTTTGGATTAAAAAATGATAAAAAATTTTTGTAGGAAAAGAGAAATTATCCTATGATGTTAGAAAGATTTGGACAATTTTGATATAGTATTCCTGTGTACATATATATATATATATATATATATATATTATATATATAAATTGGTTATCATTTTTATTGAATAAATTGAAATAAACATTTATTTTAAATTTTAAAAAAAAAAAAAAATTATTTTAGTTGAAATTTATCAAGTTCAAGATTTCAATTTCAAATTTAAAAAAAAAAATAAAAATGTTAAAAATCGCAATCAAAAAATATTTTTTTTTTTAATTTTGTATCTGTTGGTAAATTAACAATATGGCAATACAAAAAAATAATTTACTTACTTTATCTGTTTTTTAGACTTAAAATAACAAACAAGATTAAAATAAAAAAAACAAAAACCAGAAGTTTCTAGAATTGGAAAAAAATGCAAACATTTTAAAATGAGAAAAATCGAGACAAAAAAAAAAACAGAAAAAGGAATAAAAATGAAAAAAATGAGAAAAATTCATTTAAATTTAAAGAAAATGAAACATTGAATTAGATTTTCTTTAAAAGAAAACAAGGGAAAATTTAAAGTTTAAATATTTATAATTTATATAGATATATATAATTAAAACAAGGAGAAAAAATACAAGAGTTCTATGTTTTTTAAAAGAGCAAATTCAAAAGAAAGAAGAAATAAGAATAAAAAGACATTATATATTAGCAAAAGAGAAAATTTGGAAATTAAAAAAAAAAACTCAGAGGAACCATGAATTTAAACAAAATCAAAAAATGTATGCATTTGTTTTAAAACAAACAAGAAACTGAACAGTTGAAAAAAAAAAAAGTTAAAAAAAAAAAAACCAATTTCAAAAGAATTTTATCCCACAATTCAAATAACTTATTACTTTTAAAAATTTCAAACCTCAATTTTCTATTAGAAAAATCAATAATTCCAGAAAAATATTCAAATAAAACATTATCAATTCTAGATAACATTTTTTTAAATTTAAATTTCGAAATTTGTATTTCATTAACATTCTTTATTATTTGAACATTAAAAATATTTTTTGCCAATTCTTTTATTTTGGCCTTTTACCTTTCAGATAAAGAAAATATATATAAAAAAATATAATGATGAAAAAGGATAAAAAAAAAAAAAGAAAAATTTTTTTTTTTAAAGAAAATGTAGAAAAGAAGTAAAAATCATAATGAGAAAGAGAAAAAAAAAAAATGCGTTTTTCAGGAGTTTAGACATTAGCCATTGAATGATAAAAAACAAAAGGGAAATCTGGTTTTAATTTGTTTGAATGAACATCAGGAATATTTTTTCCACAAGAATAACAAAGGAGAAGTGCAAACCAAAAAAATGAAAAAACCTGAATTAAAGAAATTCTCTGTTTTGAAAAATGAGAGAGATTCATCAGGGCAAATATTATAACTGTGAAAAGATTGAAAGAGTTTGAGAAATTTCAGATTTTGTAGATTCAATTTAGATTGAAAAGAGAGAGAGAAATAAAAAGGAGAACTTGAACTTTTCTTTCCAAAAGATAGAGAGAGAAATAAAAAGGAAAGGAAACTGTTAAAATTGAACAAAGATAATTTTAAATAATTTTTTGAGGAATATGTGATAAAAAAATTGAAAATTGACAAAATGGATTGTTCTGAACTAAAAAAAAAAGAGAAATGGATTTAAAGAAAGAAACTGAAAAAAAATTTAAAAGTACTTTTCGTTGATGAAAGAGAAAAAGAAATAAAATTGAAAAGAGAGAAAGAAAGATAAAAAATATTTTTATTCAAATTGAAAAATGATTTTCATTCGGCAAAAAAGAATTGTGGATTAAATGAAAGAGTTAGTTCTTGATAAAGAGTTAATTGTGAATTATGGAATAGAAGGATATATAAAAGGATAAAAAACGAAAGGAGAATAAAAAAGGATAAAGAAGAGAAAAAGAGGAATAAAGAAAAATAGAATTTATTAAAGAAAATAATGAAAGAAGAAATGTGAAAAAAAAAGAAAGATGAATTTTAATTTTTAATTGTATAATAAATTGAAAAAAGAGAGAGAGATAATTAAAATTTGAAGTAAATTGAAATTAAAGAAAGAAAGAAAAGAAAAGAACAAATTGAAATAAATTGAAGAAGAAGAGAAAGAAAAGAAAAAAAGAAAAAAAATTGAAAAAGAGAGAGAGAAATGAAAAGAAAAAATTGTGGAATATTTATGAAAGAGAGAGAGAGAGAAAAGAAGGGCGGTTTGGAATAAATGAAGGAGAAAGAGATAAAAATTGAATTGATGAAACAAATTGAAAAGAGAGAGAGTTTTAAAGAAAGAGAATTAGGGAAACAATTGAAAGAAAGAGAGAGAGAGATAAAGTAAAAAGATGAAATAAATTGAAAAGATAAAGAGAGATAAAGAAAGAGAAAGAAGGTAAAGTTGAAAAGAGAGAAATAGAAGAAAGAAGTAGAATTGAAAATAAATTGAAAAGAAAAAGAAAAAGAAAAGAAATAATTTGAAAAGAAAAAAGATTCTATTAACTTGTACGACAAAAATAAATTGAAAAAGAGTTTAAGAAAAGAAAAAAATAAAAATAAATGAAAAAAAAGTAGAAAATAAATCCCTTTATCAGGAAAATAAACCAGTGGAATTGAGAGAAAGATAAAGAAAAAGAAAAATGGTTAAAATTGAAAAAGAGAGAGATAATTAAAGAGAAGTGGAATAAAATTGAAAGGAAATATATAATGGGAAAAGAAATTCAGGATCCCAAATTGAAAAAAGAAAAGAAATGGTGAAAGAGAATTGTGGAATAAATTGAAAAATAGAGAGATTTTCTTTTGTAATCCAGGAAATAAATTGAAAAGAGAGAAAGAGAAAAAAAATTTAATTGTGAAATAAATTTGGAAAAAAGAGAAGATAAAAAAAGAATTGTGAAATAAAATTGAAAGAGAGAGAGAGAAAAGAAAGAGGTATCTGGAATAAATTGAAAAGAGAGAAGAGAGAGATGGTTTGATTTTTGGAATATCGAGATTAAAAAGAGAGAAAGAGATAAAGAAAAGAATTGTGGAATAAATTGATGGATTTAAAGAGAGAGAGATAAAGAAAAGAATTGGAAATAAATTGAAAGAAGAGATAAAAGAGGAAATTGTGGAATAAATTGAAAATTTTGAGAGAGATAACCTAAAGAGAATTGTGAAAGGAAATTGAAAAGGAGATTTTTAGATAAACATGAATTGTGGAATAAATTATAAAATGACACCAAAAGATAAAGAAAAGACGAATTGTGGAACAAAAAAATTGAATGAAGAGAGATTTAATGAAATTGAAAGAATATTTTGAAATGTTTTTGAAAAAAGATTTTTGATAAAGAAAGAAATTGTGGAATAAATTGAGAGAGAGAGAGATAAAAGAAAGACATTATGGAATAAATTGAAATGTCTTTAAGAAAGATAAAGAAAGAGAATTGTGGAATAAATTGAATCAGAGATAGAGAGATATAGAAAGAGAATTGTGGAATAAATTTTAAAATAAGAGAGAGATAAAGAAAGAATTTTGGAATAAATTAAATTACATAGAGATAAAAGAATTGTGGAATAAATTGAAAACTAAAGAGATAGAGATAAAAAAAAGAGATTGTAGAAAAACCAAAATCCAGAGAAAAGAAAAACTGTCCCATTTTAATAAAGAAATTTTTTGCATAAATAAAAAAGTAAGAGAAAGTAAAAAAAAAGAGAACTGTAAAAAAATATTAAAAATGAAGAGAAAAGAAAGATACAAATTTAAAACAGGGAAGAATTTTGTACAAATTTGTTTTTTTTTTTTTTTATATTTAGTTAAATCTATGTTGAATCCAGATATTTAAGAACCATTTTCTTTTAAGTTTTCGAAAATAACACATGTCATTGAAAATAATGCGATGAAAAAAAGAAAGGTTTAAGGACAATATTTTAAACAGAAGTTATGGTTCGAATTTAAAAGCAGAGTTTATTTTAAAAAAAGAAAAAAATAGCCAGAATAGATTAGGAAAAAAAAAAAAAAAAAGAAATCAAGAAGAAAACTTAAAGAGGATAAAGCATTCATTTCGGTTATAATTTATTTCTTGAATATTTCTATATTCATCTCTTCAGATCGAATGTTCTTAAACTTTCCCCATTAAAAACTTTCGGTCTGAAGAGATGAATATATATATATATATATATATATATATATATATATATATATGATATATATATATATAATTCAATTTAAATAGAAAACAGACAACCTTAAGTGTGTCCATTACCTTATAATTTATATTACAGATATATAGTTTTATTTTTTTCATCAGACCACACTTCCGAAGGTGAAAAATGTTTTAAATTTACATATAGTTTTATACACTTTTGAAGATAGTTTTAAGTTGATGTAGGTGATACAGAGAGGGGAGGAGGATTATGACAGACATGTTTTGAAATTAGAGAGGAAAAAGAGATAGGAATAATTTAATAAAAATAATAATAATAGTAATATTAATAATATTATTCAAACTAATGAGAGGAATAACGGTAGATTCATAATGAGGAAATGGAGACTTATATGGATTATTATTTACTTTTAAATCTTATTTCATTTCGAAATATTTTTCAATTATATTTTTTTAAGATTTAAAATTTTAAATTTGAAACTTTAGATCTTAATTAAAACTTTTTACCCTTTAATTGTTATTCATAATAATAATTTAATAATAGTAATATTTTTTGTTCATTTATACTATATTCTCATTATATTTACTTCCTAGTTTATTTTGTTGAAAAATTTTAAATGCTTTAACGTTAACGGCCAAATATATAAATCTGTGTTTTTTCCAGTTTACCCCAATACGACCATAAAAAGTTAATTTACTCTTCCTCTTCCTTATTTTTATTCTTTACACCCTGAAACTCCAAAGTTTTTGTTTTTCTTAAACCCCAAAACTTCCGCTTCTGACCATTATATGTTTATCTTCTCTTTTTTTCTCTTTATCTCTCGTTTCCTTTGAGATGACTTATTAAATAGGTCAATGTCTGGTCCTTACCACACTCCCTTACTCTTAAAGATCTTAATAAAAATAAATTTAAAATTATCCTTATCTCTCCATTCCCTCTTTAATTTGAACCATATCTGTTATCTCCTCTCTCTATATCACCTTACATCAATTTAAAATACTTCCTCAAAAGTTTATAAAAACTATATGCAAATTTAAAACATTATTTTACCCTTGGAAAATTGTGGTCTGATGAACCAGGTAAAACCATATACCCGGGGAAATTAACCAATGGACCCTTTTCTATTTAAATTGAATTAATAATTGCTTTGATTTGACATTGAGTTTTCATCTGGATTACATCCACCTTGGGATTATTTCTATACGGATTACCAAACTTTTCATTATATATATATATATATATATATATATATATATATATATATATATATATAATAGTAGTGGTCAATATATATATATATATATATATATATATATATATATATATATATACCTAGATTTTATCCTCTTGGATATATATATATATATATATTATTAAGAAATGGACAAAGTCTGACAATTAATTTATTAAAGACATTTTTATGGATTAACGTTATTTTTATAGATACAAGTATTTAATATTTTATAAACAGAGCATTTACTTAAATGACTTGTATCTATAAAAAGAACGTTAAACATAAAATGTCTTTAATAAATATATATATATATATATATATATATATATATATATATATATATATATATATAAGAGGATAAAACGAGTAGTTTTTTATGTACAAAGAGAGAGCAAGAATATAATATAAAGCGCTCAAACACTAATATTCCATGGTTGTTATTTATTACATTGAAATAATAATCACGATCTAATATTTTCAGACCTACAAATTCAAACATTTGAATTTGTTTGTTTGATGAATTGATCGTGATTACGATTCCAATGTAATAAAATGTCCATGGAATTTTACTATTTGAGCTTGTTAATATATATATATATATATATATATATATATATATATACATATATATACTAGCAGTATAACCCGTCTTCGACCGGGACTTTCATTACTGGGAATTTTTCCGTTCAACTGGAGCAGTTTAAGTTTAAAGTCAATCCAACCGAAAATCAATATTAGTAACAACAATTGGGTCCAACTGATACATTTCCAAATATATATGGTAATAATTTATATAGGGGGCTGGAAAGGGTGTGTTTTTGTGTTCTCAATCTGTATATATATTTTTTCAGTCTCACAGCAGCAGCAGTTGAAAGGTGTTTCTCCTCAGGTGTCGAGTTCCTTGATCATCATTTTCAGCCACTTTTGCAGAAGCGTTCTGGAAAACCGATGGCTACGTTGATTTTCGGACTCTGATTGAAGCATTCCGGGAGGCATTTTGGAGACAGGCAAACTGAACGTTCTAAAGACGATTCGTTATCCCTTATTCGCATGGCGAACCTGGCGGAAGCGGTTTTATATATAAGTCATTTTCAGCCAAAAAATGTCTTAGGCAAGCATGAATTGTCAAATGGAATGCAAAAACTGGCAGGATAATAAAAAATAAATTGGGAATGTAAGCTATAAACAACAATGAAAGCAACGTTTAAAACAGTAGTAGTAGGCTTTATATAAGAAATAATTAAAATCACTTGAGAGAGATTGAACTCTTGGCCAAGAGAAGGGGAATATATACATTTGGACTCAAAAACCGGCATTGAAGAATTATCCATCAAACAAAAAAATTTCATCGAAATCGGATGAAATTTGTTTTTTGTGGAAACATTTAAACAACATCCGATCACACACACACACACACACACACACATTTAATAGCGCGCATTTTGAGATTTATATATATATATATATATATTTTTATATATATATATATATATATGAAGAAATATAGTCTTAAGGTCTGCTATATCTATGGGATAAAGAAAATCGATATCAGAGATAGAGCTTCATATAACCCCAATTTAAGGTCATAAGAAGTTAATATCCGGGTTTAATTTTATAAAACATCTGTCGCCTCTAAGTGTTGACTAATAACTTCTATATATATATATATATATACTATATATATATATATATATATATATATATATATGAAATGGATAATTTATGATATTTTTATTTTGACAACTTTTTTTTTGTACAAATTCTTAGTTAAATGCTAATTTATAATAAAAAGTATTAAGTCTATTTTCCGGCCTGAATGTCTGGAGAAATTTTATTTTTTGTTCGTCCTCCGACAGGATTTTCTGTGAAAATTTGGGATTAAATGGTAAATGTTTGATACTGTTTATTATAAACAGAGCATTTACTTAAATATATATATAAAAAGAATGTATAAAACATAAAAAATCCTCTTAAAATAATTGTCGGACTGTGTCTATTATATATATATATATATATATATATATATATATATATATATATATATATATATATATAAAGGATATTGGCTGTCGACTCACAAAGCGAGTATGATGAATACTGACAAGTCCGGCCTTTAGGTTAAACTCCCCACCACAACAACACTGCATTCATTTGTTGTGTGAACGACAGTGGCTCATATAAAGCCAGCCATAGATCTGTATTTTTATTACATATATGGCATGTCAAATCATCGCCGGGTGGTGGAAGTTGACTTTGAACATCATCATTTCCAATGTTTCTTTTTTATAGCCATGGTCAGGTCCGACCTGGACTTTTCACAACTAGTGCAGGTCGGGCATTCAAAGCATGCCATTACGAAATCGTCATATATAGACTGTTGTGTTGGTGTGTTTTTGGTGACTAATCAGGCCAGCTCTGGACATATATCCGATTGCATTGGGTACATGGCCAGGTTGGCACCTCATGGCAATTCAGGCACCCTTCCGAACCCCTCTCTTCAGTTCTGCATATTTTTGTGATGCCTCATGAAAGATCTTGATGCCATCAGCAATACCAGCTTTCCAAGAAACCTGGTCTTCAGCTAGAGTCTCCTAATTATCCAGACCAACATTGCACATGTATAAAGGACTCTTTAAAGAAATCTTTTTATAACGAAGTTTTTGGCTTGTGCTGAGGTCTTTTTCCCGTTTCCAATTCTCCATACATTAATTATTTTGGCATTCTGTCATCTGCCATATGAATAACATGGCCTGTCCATCTCAATTTTATTTGTGTATAATTGCTTCCACAGAGAGTGAATTGTCCATTTGTAGAGCAAGAGTATCAGGGAGTGTGAGACATTCAGTGGATTTCAAACAGAGAAGGCATCATTGATGAAAATGTTCCAGTATCTTCAGATGTCTGCGATAGACTACCCATGTCTCACATGAATATAGCAGAGATGACATATATATATATAGTCAATCTGAAGTCCTTATGCAAATCATATAAATCTCAATAGCTCAAATTTACTTTGAACAATTTTTGTCATTATTTTAAATGAAATCATTGTCAGCATTTTTAGAATCATTTATTTCCAGTAAATAGCAGCTTCCAATTCTATTAAAAATGGTCCAGCATAGCCAGGCAACAATGCCATACAAATCTAGGAATTATCTGAAATTTTTCAGAAATATACAAAATCAGTTTTTTTTTATCTTTCTACAGAAAAACAGATGAAATATTTCACATGTATGATGTCACACATGAACTGGTTCTATAACTGCATTACCCAATACTGA